TTTATCTGATATGAGTATTGCGACTCCTGCTATCTTTTGTTCTCCATTTGCATGAAATATTTTTTTTCCAGCCCTTCACTTTCAGCCTGTATGTGTCCCTTGTTTTGAGGTGGGTCTCTTGTAGACAGCATATATAGGGGTCTTGTTTTTGTATCCATTCAGCCAGTCTTTGTCTTTTGGTGGGGGCATTCAACCCATTTACATTTAAGGTAATTATTGATAGGTATGGTCCCATTGCCATTTACTTTGTTGTTTTGGGTTCGCGTTTATACAACTTTTCTATGTTTCCTGTCTAGAGGCGATCCTTTAGCATTTGTTGAAGAGTTGGTTTGGTGGTGCTGAATTCTCTCAGCTTTTGCTTGTCTGTAAAGCTTTTGAATTCTCCTTCATATTTGAATGAGATCCTTGCTGGGTACAGTAATCTGGGTTGTAGGTTATTCTCTTTCATTACTTTAAGTATGTCCTGCCATTCCCTTCTGGCCTGAAGAGTTTCTATTGATTGATCAGCTGTTATCCTTATGGGAATCCCCTTGTGTGTTATTTGTTTTTTCTCCCTTGCTGCTTTTAATATTTGTTCTTTGTGTTTGATCTTTATTAATTTGATTAATATGTGTCTTGGGGTGTTTCACCTTGGGTTTATCCTGTGTGAGACTCTCTGGGTTTTTTGGACCTGTGTGACTTTCCTTCCCCATTTTAGGGAAGTTTTCAACTATTATCTCCTCGAGTATTTTCTCATGGCCTTTCTTTTTGTCTTCTTCTTCTGGGACTCCTATGATTCAAATGTTGGGGCATTTCACATTGTCCCAGAGGTCTCTGAGGTTGTCCTCATTTCTTTTGATTCTTTTTTCTTTTTTCCTCTCTGCTTCATTTATTTCCACCATTTTATCTTCTACCTCACTTATCTTCCGCCTCCTTTATTCTACTGTTGGTTCCCTCCAGAGTGTTTATTATCTCATTTACTGCATTATTCATTTTTAATTGACTCTTTTTTATTTCTTCTAGGTCCTTGTTAAACATTTCTTGCATCTTCTCAGTCCTTGTCTCCAGGCTATTTATGTGTAACTCCATTTTGTTTTCAAGATTTTGGATCATTTTTATTATCATTATTCTAAATTCTTTTTCAGGTAGATTCCCTATCTCCTCCTCTTTTGTTTGTCTTGGTGGGCATTTTTCATGTTCCTTTACCTGCTGGGTATTTCTCTGCCTTTCATCTTGTTTAGATTGCTGTGTTTGTGGTGGCCTTTCTTTCTGTAAGCTGGTGGTCTGTGGTTCCTTTTTATTGTGGAGGTTTCTCCCAGTGGGTGGGGTTGGATGATTGAGTTGTCAAGGTTTCCTGGTTAGGGAAGCTTGCGTCGGTGTTCTGGTCAGTGTTCTGGTGCACGGAGCTTGATTTTTTCTCTCTGGAGTGCAATGGAGTGTCCAGTAGTGAGTTTTGAGATGGGTCTGTGTTTGGTGTGACTTTGGGAAGCCTGTATGTTGGCGCTCAGGGCTATGTTCCTGTGGTGCTGGCAAATTTGTTTGGTATGTCTTGCTCTGGAACTTATTGGTTCTTGGGTGGTGGTTGGTTTCAGTGTAGGTATGGAGGCTTTTGGATGATCTCTTATTACTTAATGTTCCGTGTAGTCAGGAGTTCTCTGGTGTTCTCAAGTTTTGGGCGTAAGTCTCCTGCCTCTGGATTTCAGTCTTATTCTTCCAGTAGCCTCAAGACTTCTCCAACTATACAGCACTGATAATAAAACTTCTAGGTTAATGGTGAAAAGATTCTCCACTGTGAGGGACACCCAGAGAGTTTCACAGAGTTACATGAAGAAGAGGAGAGGGAGGAAGGAGATAGAGGTGAGCAGGAGGAGAAAAAGGGGGGCTCAAGAGGAGAGAGACAGATCTACGCAGTACTCTGTTCCCTAAGTGTTCTCCATAGCCCAGAATACCCACAGAGATTCACAGAATTGGATTGAGAAGAGAAGGGGGAGGGAGGAAATAGAGGTGATCTGGGGGAGAAAAAGTAGAGTCAAAAGGGGAGAGAGTAATCATCACACTCCTGAGTAAAACTGGGTATTGAATATTGGATTCTTAAATGTCCAAAATTGATATCAAATACTGAAAAACAAAGATTAAAAATCTAGAGTAGAGGTTAGACTCTTAAAAACACAATATTACAAACAAAAACAAAAACACAAAAAATTTAAGAAATATATATGAAGTTTGCTTTAAAAATAGGGTCTTTTTTTTTGCAAGGTTATAGTGGGTTATTAAAATGAAAATTAAGGCGTAATAGAGGAGTAATAGAGGACTTTAAAAAAATTTAAAAAATTTTAATAAAAAAATAATAACAGTAAAAATATATCTAGGAATTTCTCTGGAGCTGTTTCGGGCAGTGTGGGTTCGGTTCAGTTTCAGATAGCTCCTTGTTCCAGCTTACACTTCTCGATATCTGTAGGCCCCTTCTGGTGTAGTCGGTGTTAACTACAGGGATTTTAATCTGTTGCACCTGTCACTTCTAAAGTGGTTCCCTTTGTTTATTTGGCTTCTGTTTGCAGGTCTCTTCAGTGTCTAATTTCCACCCTGACACAAGTGGTCGGAGGTGGTCTCTTGTTTAGGTTCGCTTGTTCAGTCGTGCTGTGGGGAGGGAGGGGCACTGCAGACAAATATCACTGGTGTGTGTGGGGAGAACTCACAGTGTTCCAGCCACACTGGGTTTGCCCCCGCTTGCAGTGTGTGTGCTTTCCCCATCTACACTGCTCAGGCTTCAGGTTGCTCTACAGGGAGCAGGCCCTGAGTTGCATGCACTTCCCAGGTTAAGCCACTCAGGTTCAGGTTTTCGGGTACTCCGCAAAGACGCAGACTCGGTTGGGCCTGCATTTTGTGCCTTCCCCGGCCGGAGGAGCTCAGGCAGCCAGGAGCTTGATAAGCACACTCTCCCCAGGTGCAGCGCGCCTTATCCCCTCCGTGGTCCCAGCCTCAGTTTCCGCGCGCACCGGTTCTGCGTGCCTTGTGTCTCTTCTGGGTAGCTGGTCTCTAGCTGCGACCCTCCCTGTGGATGTCAACCATCCAGAATCTCAGGAAGTCTTTGGTTAGAAACTGGAAGCCTGTTTGCAGTTTGGTAGGGGATGCCGTGTCTGGGGCCGAGTTTGTCCCTTTCCCCTTCCCCCTGCCTCCTGCCTCCAGCGGGGGATGGGCCAGTCTGAAGCCAGCTAGCTCTTCTCTGGAATTGCTCAGTCCTTCCTTCGTTCGGCGAAAGGGCTGGCAGTGTCTTTGGTTAGGGCTTTTCGTAGGTTTCTCTCTCTCTGTCTTGCTATCCTACAGTTTAAGTTGCTATCTCAGTTAGCTCCCTCCGATTGCCCTCAGGGCATTTAGGCCCGGTCCTTACCCTAAGCAATGCTGCCCCCTCCTCTCCGTTCAGCCCCCACTTGCTGGTGGCGGATGTGAGCATCTGGGGTACTTTTCTGCTGGGAGTTGCTTTTAGGCATGTAATCTGTGGGTTTTATTTATTTTTCCTCCTGGTTAGGTTGCCCTCCGAGATTCGAGAACTTCCCCTAGACCCGCCAGTGAGAGGGTTTCCTGGTATTTGGAAACTTCCTCTATTAGGACTCCCTTCCCAGGATGGGTTTCCGTCCCTAACTCTTTTGTCTCTCTTTTTATCTTTTATATTTTGTCCTACCTCCTTTCAAAGACAATGGGCTGCTTTTCTGGGCGCCTGATGTCCTCTGCTAGTGATCAGAAGTTGTTTTGTGGAGTTTGCTCAGCATTCAAATGTTCTTTTGATGAATTTGTAGGGGAAAAAGTGGTCTCCCCGTCCTATTCCTCCACCATCTTAGCTCCTCCTCCTCCCTTTATTCTTATGCTTATATTTTCTGTGCTTCATCTTGTAAAGTTAATATAACTTTTCATTTTTCTGATTACTTCTTTCTGAACCAAAAGTTAGCATACTACATACACTTTAAAATTTTTTTCCACTTGACATTATCTCCTAGAAATCCCTCCATGTAGTTTATAAAAATATTTTATTATTTTTACATAAATATATAAAATAGTACCACATTATATACCACAGTTGATACTATACCATAATTAATTGTATATGCCTTGGTTTATTCAACCAATAAGGGGCTTCCCAGGTGGCACTAGTGGTAAAAAACCTGCCTGCCAATGCAGGAGACATAAGAGCTGCAGGTTTGATCCCTGGATTGGGAAGATCCTCTGGAGGAGCACATGGCAACCCCCTCCAGTATTCTTGCCTGGAGAATCCCCATGGACAGAGGAGCCTGGTGGGCTACAGTCCATAGGGTTGCAAAGAATTGGACACAAGTGACTTAGTACAGCATTTAACCAATATCCTATTCTTGAACATTTAGCTGTTCAGGAAATAAAATATCTTGCAATTACAGATAATACTATAATGAATAACCTTGTGCATATGTATTTTTATTGTTTTATCTACTATTATGTATTTACCTAGTATATACATGCCCCCAAAGTAGAGATTAATATGAAATATATTTGATGTCTCATAATATCTTTGAAATAATGAGACATTTTCAGTAGCATCCATTAAAACTTTTCTTATTTGCATATAAGATCATTATGACAATTTACTGATAACTTTGAAAATGAGAGAAAATGCTACTGTACTGCTTCTGCTGCTGCTAAGTCTCTTCAGTCGTATCCGACTCTGTGCGACCCCATAGATGGCAGCCCACCAGGCTTCGCCATGCCTGGGATTCTCCAGGCAAGAACACTGGAGTGGGTTGCCATTTCCTTCTCCAATGCATGAAAGTGAAAAGTGAAAGTGAAGTTGCTCAGTCGTGTCTGACTCTTTGCGACCCCATGGACTGCAGCCTACCAGGCTCCTCCATCCATGGGATTTTCCAGGCAAGAGTGCTGGAGTGGGATGCCATTGCCTTCTCCGATGCTACTGTACACGTGCTGTAAATTTGAAATCTAGAGATTTCATGATTGATCTGTTTTTCCATTTAATGAACTAAATATATCTCTTTTTGTAGCTCATATTGGAGTACCAGATAAAAATCTTATGGTTTTTAATCAATATCCAGTGTCAAAACTCCAAACGCAAGTAGAGAACCAAATAAATTACAGAAGGGAAAGGAGTCAGAGTAAGTATAATAATTATGGTAACTTTAAATTATTTTAAACTCATCAGATAATCCTTTTTCTTTGGTTTATGAATATGTATTTGAGTGTATATTTTATAGAAGTAAAAATAAATGACCTAAACTGTGAATACCCAAAGATAACTAGAGAACAAGATCCAAAGTGTTAATACCTTCGGACTGTAATTTCTTTGCCATAAGACTATTTCACAGTCATAAAGCATGCACTCAGTATCCACTAAGCTCAGTAACTGTCCAGTCACATCTCCAATTGTGTATACGTTTTAGCTGACTCTGGGAGATTACAGGTTCCAGGAAATTCTGCCCAGTGGGCACTTCTGACCAGTAGCAGTGTCATTCTACCTAGGCTCCAAATGACAAACTGGGAAGTTTTTGAGATCTGTAACTAAAACAGCAAATAGAAATCAGAGAGGCTTAGGGGAAGGGCAGCCTGGAGGCTTGATGGAGACCCCCAACAGGGTGTGCTGTTAGTTGGGCCACACAAAGGTGAGGTGTTGTTGGTGACCTCATAGGTAGGTGCCATCAAGTTCCCTGTTTGGAAAGTGCCAATACCAGAAAAGTACCACCAGTTGTTGGAACTCTTTTTATTTGGGGAAGTTAAGAGGACCAGATATTGTCAGTCTGGATAGGATATTGTTGCTTTTTCCAGATGGTGCCTAGGAATTTCACTTGGGTGATGGGTCATGGTGCCTCATCTATATTAATGGCTCATCATGTTGCCTCATGTGAGTCCACAGAATGACCAGTCATCATTGGGTAGTGTCCTTGTCTGGGGCCACCAGGAAGACGTCTTCAACATAGTGGAAGGCTAATGTTCCTTCCAGTAGCTTGAATTTTTCTTGGCCTCATCATATCTGATGACAGATAGTAGGGGAATTTAGGTAGACTTTTGGATGGACATTAGTGGTATATTGCAAGCCATTACACATAAAATTAAACTGATCCTGATTATCCACATGGACAGCGATGCTGAAAAGGGAGTTTGAGATGTCAGTTTTTATATACCAAGTTTCTTTCTCTTGGGCAGTAGCCTCTGTGACAGTGTCAAAGTCAGGTACTGCCAGTGCTTAGAGTTTTACTACAGCGTTGAGCTGCTAATAGTCATCGAGACTCCATGCTCCTAAGGCCATGTGCACAGGTTAGATGAGGCTATTGAGTGAGAATTAGTCTCATGAAGGGCCTTGTTATTCTTGAACTCAGCAGTGAAGGCGTTGCTTTTTGCTTTTTTATTCTAGGCAGTTGCTGCTGTTTCTGAGAAACAACAGCACTAGGGGCTGCTAGTCAGGGAGGTTTATGGTCTTCCATATGCCCACTAAAATGGTGCCAGCTGGAGCAGTCTTCTTCGGGCTTATGGGCAAATGTGAGCAGGTGTTCACTTAGGCAGTACATCTATATCACTGATAAATTCAATAGTGAATTGCCCTAAGAAGTTTTTGTTGGAGTTTGGAGTTGGCCAAAGAGACCCATCCATAGCTGGATCTAGGTAAGGGTCCCACTGGTAATGACCTCAGATCCAAAATCAGAGACATTGTTTTTTCCCCTCATTCTGGTGCTGGGGTTTGAGGGTCACAGCCATCTCTGTACTGGTATCTGAAAGTCCCAGAAATGTAACTCCTACCTCCACATTCAACTCTGACCTTGGGATACAACCTCTGGTCCCTACTGGAGATCCTGAGAGCTGATCTGCAGTTTTGTCTTGTTTGTTGCTAAATATTAGAGGGGCTCACCTATTCATCTCCATATTCACAGGGAGAGCCAGAGGGAATAATTTCAGTTCATCATAGCAGTTGTTAAACATGCAGATTCTAATAAGGCTGTATTTTATGGCCCTTATGGCCTAGTACCTAGTCATCTACCTCCTCTTTGAGTATCCAGACTCAGAGAGTTTCTCTAGAAGCATCATCCAGGACATGGTTACCATTTTATATTGCTGTCTTAGCTATTCTATACCATTTGAGCAGAAGGTGTTTTCTCTGTGTCTAAAAGTAGGTCAGTTAAGTTCTGGATTTTGTTGCAGAACATTATCACCTGACCTTATAAGGAAGTTTGGTTTAGCTCAATAACCAGCAGGAATAGCAGAAATAAATCTAGAAACCTGGCCTGGTTAACAAGCTTATCTACTGTTCTTATTCATTACTATAGAATGGTTAACAGGGCTGCTATAGACTCTGCAAGTGGTGGTCCAAACATGATTTTAGTGACAGGTTCAGGCTGAAAGCTGCCGGAGTATGAATAGTACCCAGCTGAGGAAGGAGAGGGTCTCAGTGTTTGCCTATCCTCTTCCCTTTCTCCCTCCACCTTGAGCAAACTTCCTGCTGTCGGGTCACACTTAAGAAGGGGCTCTATAGTGATGCAGCCCACAAAGTACCAAAGTGCCTCACTCAGTTTGGTTACTTCTTTCATCATGCAAGTGAACAACTCAAGTCTCCAAGGCCTCTTTACATCACAGACAAAGCAATCCTAAAGAGTTCTGTATTCATTTAATTCAATGATGAGTCTCAGTTTTAGGCTGTCCATCATTGTCTGGAACCTCATTAAAACTGACAACAGTATTGCATAAGAACCTAGAATGTTACGTCCATGAATCAAGGTAAATTGGAAGTGGTCAAACAGGAGATGGCAAGAGTAAACATCTACATTTTAGGAATCAGTGAACTAAAATAGATGGGAATGGGTGAATTTAATTCAGATGACCATTATATCTACTACTGTGGGCAAGAATCCCTTAGAAGAAATGGAATAGCCCTCATAGTCAACAAGAGAGTCTGAAATGCAGTACTTGAATGAAATCTGAAAAACAACAGAATGATCTCTGTTCATTTCCAAGGCAAACCATTCAATATCACAGTAATGCAACCACTAATGCTGAAGAATATGAAGTTGAATGGCTCTATGAAGAACTACAAGACCTTCTAGAACTAACACCAAAAAAAAAAGATATCCTTTTCATCATAGGGGACTGAATGCAAAAGTAGGAAACCAAGTGATACCTAAAATAAAGAGCCAGTTTAGCCTTGGAGTACAGAATGAAGCAGGGCAAAGGCTAACAGACTATTCCCAAGAGAACACACTGGTCATAGAAAACACCCTCTTCCAACAACACAAGAGACTACTCTACACATGGACATCACCAGATGGTCAAAAACCAAAATTTGGTTGATAACATTCTTTGCAGCCGAAGATGCAGAAGCTCTATACAGTCAGCAGAAACAAGAACTGGAGCTGACTGTGGCTCAGATCATGAACTCCTTAATGAAAATTACAGACTTAAATTGAAGAAAGTAGGGAAAACCACTAGGCCATTGAGATATGAACAAAATCAAATCCCTTATGATTATACAATGGAAGTGAGAAATAGATTCAAGGGATTAGATCTGATAGACAGAGTGCCTGAAGAACTATGGACTGAGATTCATAACATTGTATAGGAGGTGGTGATCAAAACTGTCCCAAAGAAAAAGAAATGCAAGAAGGCTAAATGGTTGTCTGAGTAGGTCTTACAAATAGCTAAGAAAAGAAGAGAAGTAAAAGGTGAAGAGTAAAAGGAAAGATATACCCATCTGAACACAGAGTTCCAGAGAATAGCAAGGAGAGATAAAGCCTTCCTCAGTGAAAAATGCAAAGAAAGAGAGGAAAACAATGGAATAGGAAAGACTGGAGATCTCTTCAAGAAAATTAGAGATACCAAGGGAACATTTCATGCAAAGATGGGCAGAATAAAGGACACAAACAGTACACACCTAACAGAAGCAGATATTAAGAAGAGGTGGCAAGAATACAGTATATACAAAAAAGATCTTCATGACCCAGATAATCACAATGGTGTAATCACTCACCTAGAGCCAGACATCCTGGAATGTGAAGTCAAGTGGGCCTTAGGAAGCATCATCACGAATAAAGCTAGTGGAGGTGACGGAATTCCAGCTGAACTATTGAAAATCCTAAAATAATGCTGTTAAAGTGCTTCATTCAATATGCCAGCAAACTGGGAAACTCAGCAGTGGCCACAGGACTAGAAAAGGTCAGTTTTCATTCCAATAACAAAGAAAGGTAATGCCAAAGAATATTCAAGCTACCACACAGTTGCCCTGATTTTACATTCTGGCAAAGCAATGCTCAAAATCTCCGAGTTAGGCTTCAGCAGTATGTGAACTGAGAACTTCCAGATGTACAATATGGGTTTAGAAAAGGCAGAGGAACCAGAGATCAAATTGCCAACATCTTCTAGATCATGGAAAAAGCAAGAGAATTCCAGAAAAACATCTGCTTCATTGACTGCACCAAAGCCTTTAACTGTGTGGATCACAACAAACTGTGGAAAATTCTTAAAGAGATGGGAATACCAGACCACCTTACCTGCTCCTGAGAAACCTGTATATAGGTTAAGAAGTAACAGTTAGAACTGGACGTTGAACAACAGACTGGTTCCAAATTGGGAAAGGAGTACATCAAGGCAATGTGTTGTCACCCTGCTTATTAAACTTACATGCAGAGTGCATCATGCAAAATTCCACACTGGATGAAGCACAAGCTGGAATCAAGATTGCTGGGAGAAATACAAATAACCTCAGACATGCAGGTGACACCACCCTTATGACAGAAAGCAAAGAGGAACTAAAGTGCCTCTTGATGAAGGTGAAAGAGGAGAGTGAAAAATACGGCTTAAAACTCAACATTCAAAAAATGAAGATCATGGCATCTGGTCCCATCACTTCGTGGCTGATAGATGGGGAAACAATGGAAACTGTGACAGACTTTATTTTCTTGGGCTCCAAAATCACTGCAGATGGTGACTGCAGTCATGAAATTAAAAGATGCTTGCTCCTTGGAAGAGAAGCTATGACCAACCTAGATAGCATATTAAAAAGCAGAGACATTACTTTGCTGACAAAGGTCCATCTAATCAAAGCTATGCTTTCTCCAGTAGTAATGTGTGGATGTGAGAGTTGGACCATAAAGAAGGCTGAGCACCAAAGACTTGA